GCATTCTTATTAGCCAGCCACCTGCTCCTGTCCCTTAGAAGCACTGTTCACTTTCATATAACAAGCAGATCACTATGGAAAATGTGTAACAAAATAACCTTAGGAACATGACAAATGTAATATAACATTAGCAATTTTCTGTGGTCATGGTCCTTGTAATATGATGTGTGAAGTTATGCATATATTAGACATTGACCCCCTGTGGAAGGGGTTCAATCTTCCTTCCTATCTCCTCCTTTATTTCCTCTTTCAGTACCCTGTACATTAGGAGAAGGACCAGAAAGTCTGGTTTCCAGACACAAAGGCTTGAAGAGCCATACCAGGCAGAATAATGGTTATTATCTCAGTAGGTTATTTGCATTTCTGAAGCTCTCCTGCCTGTGTGATTCCATCTGCAGAGCTCAAGACAAATACCTTAACCCCCTTTGGGTATTTCCTCACCACTTTCCTCACAGATTCTGTGCAGCTGTCTGGTTCTAGACACTTAAGAGCAGCAGCTCCAACTTTAGAGAAAAGTAAAAGGCTTTTAAATTCCTTTAAAAAAAACAACAACCCTGAGCTTTCTTTAAAACCATTCTGTTGGCCCCAGTTTTTAAAATTTTAGCTGGCTAAAATATTAAATAAAACATTTTTAAAAGAGAAGGTTATACACATTTCTGATAGCTTTCTCTATATCCATTCCTACCAATATTTAGAGTGTTGTCCATGGTTATCTAATGGCAACTCCAATTGACTATCTTTTGGGTGAATGTGCAGTTAGCAAAAATGGTTGAGACATTCCTGACTGTCAGCTTATGCCATTTGACTAATATACTTAAAAAAATTTTATATTGATTTCAGAGAGCAAGGGGGAGGGAGAGAGAGAAACATCAATGATGAGAGAGAATCATTGATTGGCTGCCTCCTGAACACCCCCCACTGGGGATTGAGCCTGCAACCTGAGCATGTGCCCTGACTGGGAATCGAACCTCCTGGTTCATAGGTTGACATCCAACCACTGAGCATGCCGGCCGGGCTGACTAATATCCTTTAAAAAATATATATTTTTTTATTGATTTCAGAGAGAAAGGGAGAGGGAAAGAGAGATAGAAACATCAATGATGAGAGAAAATCATTGATTGGCTGCCTCCTGAACACCCTCCACTGGGGATTGAGCCAGCAGCTGAGACATAAGCCCTTGACTGGAATTGAACCCGGGACCCTTCAGTCCACAGGCTGACACTCTATCCACTGAGTCAAACCAGCTAGGGCAATGACTAATATACTTTTAATGCAGTTTGGACAGGAAGTATTTTTCAGACTCCTTGATTATTGCTATTTTAAATATAATATTATTGATTATTATAGTATACTAGAGGCCCAGTGCATGGATTCGTGCACATTGAAAGTAAATTAATTAGAAGGTGGCCAGTGGGGTGGGACTGGGTGAGATGGGCTGGACATGCCCTGGAGCCAACCTCCCTCGGTCCCTCTCCCAGCCACCTGGGGCGGTGCCGGGGGCTCGAAGGGCATCTGCTGAGTAAGCAGAATCCCTCCGACAGGTGGGGTCCCTCGGCCTGGCCTGCAGGGATCGAACCAAAACTGGCAGTCTGACATCCCCCGAGGGGTCCCAGTGTGTGAAAGGACACTGCAAAGTTGCTGTTGCTTGGCAGCTCCTGCATCGAGTGTCTGCCCCCTGGTGGTCAGTGCACATCACAGCTACCAGTCGGAGCGTCTGCCTCCTGGTGGTCAGTGTGCATCCTAACTACCAGTTGGACGGTCACTTTGGCTTATATATATATAGATTGTTGTTATTAAATAACCTTCCTTATTCCTATGATCATTCATTCATTGGACAATTGGACATTAGCACACTACATGGAGGAGATACTCTGCTAAAAATCTGGGACACAGAGAGGAACAAGAGTAGGTATCTACTGAGGAGCTCACCTGATGTTGCCTCTTTGTACAAGATACTATAAACACTTGAACACATATTAACTTGATAAGTACAACAACCCTATGAGCTGGTACTATTATTGTTCTCATTTTGCAGATGGGAAAACAGACACAGAGGTGTGGAAAAACTTACCCAGAGTCTTACCGTTAAGAAGTTGCAGAGTCGGGATGTGACCCTAGATGCTCAGTCCAGATCCCACATGTTTTTACCACACTTGGGTTGCACTGTGGGAGAATGGACTAAAAGGGGAAGTGACTGGGAAAAGATGAAGGGCTAGGTTTAAGAGATAGTTCTTCGGTAAAATTTATTGCAGCTGATAACCAATTGGCTGGAGATAGAGAGAGAGGAGTCAAAAGTAACTGGCCCTTAGGTTTTTAGATTGAGACGGGGTTGATGGTGGTGCTATAAATTGAGATTATAAATATAAGAGGAAGAGAAGGTTTGTGAGCACACTGAGCTTATGAAAGAACTATTTGATGCCTAGGAGATACCCTTCTGGGCCAGACCTACACATGGCCATCAACAATAATAATGGGGGTGACTTTAATAATTAATTATATTGAGAACTTTTCATATGCAAAGAAGTACATTTGCATGTACTAATTCATGGAATTCTCACATTAAACCTATTAAATCAGTATCATAATCCCTTTCCTTGGCAGGTGAAGAAACTGAGGTTCAATAGGGGCTAAATAGGTTATCAAAGTCACTTTGCTCCCTCAACCCTGCTGTCTCATAATCCACAGGAATTGAGGAAGACCAGATAGGAGATGGCTCTTATCTAATAAGTTGCCCCAGATAGGACTAATGAGGCCTAATTGAAGAATATGTGAATGGAGAAGAAGAATGGAATTCTCTTCACTCTCCTCCAGATTTTTTCTGGCAGCAACCAAGCAAGTGCTCCTGACTTCATGGTGCCCTCCTCTGGATTATATGAGAGTTATCTGACCTAACATTCTCTTTTTACTGTTGTACCTCCTTTTTCACTCCTCCTTGAAATCACAATAAACTACCGTCTCTGGCACATCATACTTCAGAGTTAATTGCATGTCAGACATCTCTCATACATAACCCTGTCTAATTTTCTTTTATTCTTTTCTATTCTTGTCTAACTCCTGTACTCGAGAAAACACGCTTCCTCATTCCCCTTTTCTGTCACACATCAAAAACCTTGGGAAAGGTATTGAACACCTACCACGTGCCAGGCACTGTCCTAAACCCTTGAAATACATCACTGGAAGAAACATCAGAGATGAAAATCTCTTCCTGCAAAGAACCTACAGTCTAATGGAAAATACAGTTTTCTGCATCTGACTTCTGTGCTAATTCTTTACTACACATCTTCCTCCATGAACCCCACCCCCACCCCCAAGAGACTTCTCAGATGCCTTAGGACTTTGCAGAGAACAGTTTGAACATTTTAAATTCTAGACGGAGAAGTTAAAGCTTAGAAAGAAAAAGGCCTTGACAAAGATTATGGGATGTGATTCGTGGGCATTTAACTCCCAGGTCAGTGCTCTCTGCTGTATTTGCTGACTCTCCATATCTGGTTGACTCAGATCAAAAACTGATAACAACTTGCCTACTATAACTTCTAACACAGTAATTATGCAGAGATGATTTGGTGAATGATGGGTGTATATGTGAGCAGTTCTACTCATATACTTGGAACAAAGAAAAGAAAATCTATGTACTTTGAGAGTAAATTGGTGATATTTTAAATTGTTAAAATTCTCCAAACTCTTGATGGTGTCTCAGAAGTTTTCTCACAATCCCAATAGAAGATTCTTTGTCTATTATTGCCACTCAATTGGGACTTGTTACCTCCATTCCTGACTTTCAATAAATAAAAGAATTGTGTTTAGAATTATATTTTACTTTGTGTGTGGTCGTATTATAATTTTCTATTCCTGCTAATTGTGCATTTGTTGTATATTAACTGCATTTGGCCTTAAATGGCTATTGTGAAGTGACCTGTAAATGAACATTTCTATAGGTAAATGTATTTGATGAGCAAAGCAATTAACTGATTTAGGGACAACCTTTTGAAATGCAACCAGATCATAAATGAGGAAACTAATTGTAATTGACTTGGAGACACTTAGCGAAATCTGAAATCTGACCAATTAAGTCATAAGCAAGCTGTGGATTCATCTACCTCGCCCTGTGCTTTCCTCTCTAGTGAGATTAGACTGTAAATAGATCAAAGGAAATCTGGTAAAAGAGATGCTGGTATGTGCTTCTGGTGGGGATGATTGTGATGGTGCAGGGCAGCTGAATGAGGCCACCAAGTATCTTTGTTTCGTAGGAGGAAAATCTATCTAACGGGGAAATAAAAGATTGCTCATATTAACTCCACCTGGCTTGTATGTTAAAGAGAGGTAGAAAGAGAAAATATTCCTTGAGAGAATTGATGCTGATGTGTAAACAAGTTCACTAGGGTAAATATCCATACAGGAGCATGGGACTCCTTAGAACAGTGATGGTGAACCTTTTGAGCTCGGCGTGTCAGCATTTTGAAAAACCCTAACTTAACTCTGGTGCCGTGTCACATATAGAAATTTTTTGATATTTGCAACCATAGTAAAACAAAGACTTATATTTTTGATATTTATTTTATATATTTAAATGCCATTTAACAAAGAAAAATCAACCAAAAAAATGAGTTCACGTGTCACCTCTGACACGCGTGTCATAGGTTCGCCCTCACTGCCTTAGAATGAGAGCTAGGCCAGGAAGGGGAGCATTCTGGAAACTATGTAGCTATGCTGATATTCCTATGGTGGGTTGGAGAGATTCGAAGAAACAGATTCACATGCATACAGAATTTGAGGGGAGTGGGCAGCTCATATTATTGGGGACAAGCCAGGGCCATCTTGATGAACATAATATATAAATTAGAATGTTGTCCAAATGCTGACTTCTCAGTATCTAGTAAATCTTGAGAAATCATGTTAATAAAAACACAAACAGGTGTAACCAAGAATAAATGATGTATTGTATGTGTATATAGTGGGTCAGATCCTATTTTAAAATTATCTTTCTCTTGTCTCTTTTCCAGATATGGATCAATTCATAAACAACTTGAAGGCCCAGCTTAATTCAGAAGGTAGCTCAATGCATGTATTCAAACAGGTCAGTTATCAGGAAAAAGAGATACTAATATTGTGCCGTAATACTGTTGAGTGCCTCATAATCATTATCGAGCTGAAGATCATTTTTCTTTCTGACAACATATTGAGGACTGAGAAGGGATGAAGAAGGGAGGTTTGTAAGAAGTACCTGAATGCTCAGTCTTCAGATTCAAATAGGGAGTAGATCTGGCCTTAAAGAAACATAGTCTCTGGGATCAAGGCAATAGGGGCAAGATTGGTATAAAACAGCAATCATTTATCTAGCACTATTCCATATTTCAGGCACCCTGAGATTAAATGCATTGTCTTATTTAATCTTCATAATAACTCTGTTGGGTAGTATATTAGTAAGAGTTCTCTCAATCTCTCTCCCTTTCTCTCTCTCTCTCTCTCTCTCTCTCTCGATATAGATAGATATATAGATATAGATGAATTTTGTTTTATATATATAAATATATCTATCTATCTATTATCATCTATTTATCTAAAGAGAAAGAAAAAATATTTTAAGGAATTGGCTCTCATTATTGTGGAATCTTGGTGAATCCAAAATCTAATGGGTAGGCTGGCAGGCTGGAGAGCCAAGGCAAAGTTGAAGTTTGAGTTCAAGGGCAGTCTGCTGGAAGAATTCTTTCTTGCTTGAAGGAGGTCAGTCTATCTATTAAGGCCTTCAAGTGGTTGGATGATGCCAACCCACATTATGAAGGGTGATCTGCTTTACTCAAAGTCTGTTGCTTTAAATATTAATCCCAACCCAAAACACACCTTCACTGAAACATTCAGAATAACATTTGACCAAATATCTTGGCACTGTGGCCCAGCCAAATTGACACATAAAATTAACCATCACAGATAGGTATTCTTAATGTTCCAATTTTACAGATAAGAAAATTGTGAACTTGGATGTCCCCACAGCAAGGATTCAAAACAGATTGTGTTTTTGTTGTTGTTGTTCATCCTTACCCGAGGATATTTTTTCCATTGCTTTTCAGAGAGAGAGTGGGAGAGAGAAAAAGAGAGAGAGAAACATCAATGTGAGAAAGACATATAGATTGGCTGCCTCTGGCACATGGCCCATTGAAGCCAGAGATTAAACTTGAAACCCAGGTACATGCCCTTGACCAGGAATTGAACTCCCCACCCTTCTAAGCACGGGCTGATGCTCCAACCACTGAACAATACCAGCCAGGGCAAAACAGATTATGTTTTTTATAGCCAAGCACTCTATGTTAGATGTGGAAGTCCCATTTTGCTCATGGTTAAGTTCTAAAGTTGTTGCATATGTGAAACCCAAATACAATCAAAGTTACCCTTAAAAATCTCTTAAATTGCTTATAAAATTAAGTATATAGTTTTATATATCCAGTACAGATCTTTTTTTACTTTTGTAAAATATATTTTTATTGATTTTCTAGAGAAAGGGAGAAAGAGAGAGAGATAGAAACATCAATGATGAGAGAGAATCATTGATCTGCTGCCTCCTGCACGTGCCCTCTGGGAATCAAGCCCACAATCTGGGCATGTGCCCTGATCGGGAATCGAACTATGACCTCCTGGTTCATAGGTCCCTGCTCAACCACTGAGCCATCCAGCTTGGCCAGATCCCTTTTGTGAAAGTCACCAGATAACATATCTGGCTTATGAAAATATTTTTAATCATTAATTATTTTGCCCTTGGTGTACAATTGAATTTGTTTAAGTTGCATGTACATATGATGCCTTTGTACTATTTTAATGGTATTTGTAGCTGTGGCCATTTGGGGACTATTAGCATATAAACATTTGCTAATTATTCCTAAACATCTGCTGTTTGCTGGCTCTTAGTCATAGTTAATACTAAAAGGAAGCTGAGCCCTGATGGACTGAAGGGCCCGGGTTTCATTCAGGTCAAAGACACATACCTGATACCTAGGTTTCAGGCTCGATCCCTCAACCTACCAGCAACCAATTGATGTGTCTCTCTCACATCGATGTTTTCCTCTCTCCCCTCCCCACCCCCTTCCTCTTTAAAAATCAATGGGAAAATATCCTTGGGTGAGGATTTTAAAAAAGGGGGGCAGCTGAGTGAAAGTGTTAGAGAAAAATCTATTCAACTTGTAATAAAAAATAGTGAAATGTTGTCAAGCATGCATGCATAACTACCTTATTTTCAAATCTCTGTACACCTAAGTACAGTTTGAAAAATGTTTTTCGATGTGCTGTTTAAGTATATTAAGGTTCCAGAATTTGAAGCACTTTGAAATTGGTTCAATGTGTATAAATTCTGGATAGTACATGATCTAAGCACTTGTTTTTTTGTTTCTTGTCATTTCCAAGATACCTTGGTTGTAGTACAGCAAAGGTGCTTATGGTACATGGCCACAGAACACTGGTCAGGCCCCAGGGGACAAAGACCCAGAGCTTGTATTCTATAACAAGACTGTGCTGGCCACATCCTAGTGGGCAGAAGCCTCCTGGTTTGGTCCATTGTATGATTTGTTTATGTCATGAGGTAGGATTGATGGGTGGCTCTCTAGCTCAGTACATACATGCTGCTCCCCCTTCTTCAAATTCTTACATCACCAATGAATGAGCACTTGGTTGTCACCTGCCCTTTGTTTCTTTCTGATTATTTCCTGAAAGTACAATTTCTTGGACCAAGTGTATGAGCAGCTTTAGAGTTCATATTGTAGTATATATGTCTCCCCCCTCCAATTTATTACTTTTAACATTTTGGCATATATTTTCACATTTTCATTCTCTCTCTCTCTCTCTCTCTCTCTCTCTCTCTCTCTCTCCTCATTTCTTACCTTTGAAAGCAATTTGCATCAAGGAACTTCACCCCTAAATAATTCAGTATGCGCCCTAGCTGCTTTGGTTCAGTAGATAGAGCGTCAGCCTGTGGACTGAAGAGTCCCAGGTTCGATTTCGGTCAAGGGCACATGCCTGGGTTGCTGCTTGATCCCCAGTAGGGGGCGTGCAGGAGGCAGCCAACCAATGATTCTCTCTCCTCATTGATGTTTCTATTTCCTCTCTCCCTTTCCCTTCCTCTCTGAAATCAATAAAAATATAATAATAAAATAATAATAATAATTCAGTATGTATCACCTATTAATACTGACTTTTTCCTACCTAACAACATCAACACTATTACAACCAGGAAAATGAATAATATCTCTGTAATATTAACTATTTGGGTCATACAATTCTAAAAGATTCTTAGTGATACCTTTCCCTATGCCATTCTTTCTGCCTGGCATGTGCTTCAATCAGCCTGTCTGATTTACCAAAATCCCACACTTTCCTTAGAGTCCAAATTCCAATTCCATTTATTTCATAGAACTTTCACTGATAACTCCAACTCTCCCTGATCTCTAGTACACTTGAGCTCCTGGAATGCTAAATTACCTGTATCAGTCACTCATGTGGTTCTGCTTATTACCTGTTCTCGACACCCACAGTCTATATTCTTGTGGAAAGTGATACTACACTTAACCTCTTCTTATGCTTTCTGTTGTAACTTTATTTCTCAAAATTATTGATAGTCATGAGAGAGAGACTATAAGAAGAAATACTTCTTCCTGTTCGTTCTTAGAAATTCCTAGTATTCTGCCTCTTTAATCTGGGAAGGGGACTAGCCAGGTGAAGAGACACATGGGAAATGTGGGAAAAATAAGAGTTTAAGTTGATTTGGGGATTCAGAGGACAAGGAATTTTTAAGTTAAACAGAGCCATTTTTTGACAACTTCCTCTCCCTATCCTCCCTCCTCCCCACCACCAACAGGATTCTACTGCTCCCTTACCTGGATGGAGTGTATCCACCCATGAGGGATGGCATAATTTAGAAGTATGTGAAACAGTGGGACAAATCACAGAGTCATGTCTTAGAGAAGCAGATTGGAGCAATAGTTGGACCCCGAACAAGGCCCGAGTTGAGATGCGGGATTGAAAATGAAAAAAACTAAGAGTGCCATAGCCTAGCAGAGGGAGAAAGCAGATGGCAGCCTGACTAAATTACATAGATGAAACATGGATGCTTCTTCGTGCTCTTTTAAAAATATTTTTATTGATTTCAGAGAGGAAGGGGGAAGGAGAGAGAGGAACATCAATGATCAGAAAGAATCATTGATCAGTTGCTCTTGTACACCCCCACACTGGGGATCGAGCCCACAACCCGGGCATGTGCCCTGACTGGGAATAGAACCATGACTTCCTGGTTCATAGGTCGATGCTCAACCCCTGAGCCATGCTGGCCGGGCTCCATTTTCCTTTTCTGAAACACTTCGTTTATATGTCTGCTGCATCGCTCACTATGGTATGACTTATAAACTACTCACATCATTCTATCATTATAGTTAGTATATTAGTACTTTTGGTTATACCTCATTCATATGTGCCCTCACTGGACTTAGCCCAGTATTTATAGTGGATACTTAGAAAGTGTTGACTTTAATTAATCTTGCAGAATTATTATAAAGAGTATTGTAAAACACTTTGTATCAATTGCCTGATACAGTGCCTAGTACCGATCCTCAGGAAAGTATCCCTTCCTTTTCCCTCTTTAATGTACTCCTGCCTCATTTCTTCCAATTCCTTATATATTCTGTCCGTGAGAAGAGAATGGAGATATCTTCCTTTCATTGCTCGCATGTCTCTTCTTCAGGGCACTAGCACTGACTGTTTTGCATCTCTCACTTGTTTATTAATTTATTTCAGGTCACTGGCTCTGTTCAAATCAGAGATCCCCCAAAGACAGCAGGCAGAGGCAATATGACATCTCTACCATTTCTGGATGCCAACCCCATGGAGAACCCAGCACTGTTTAATGACATCAAGATCGAGCCTCCAGAAGAACTGCTGGCCAATGATTTCGGTCTGCCCCAGGTGGAACCAGTCGACCTCTCCCTCCACAAGCCCAAGGCTCCTCTCCAGCCTGCCAGCATGCTGCAAGCGCCAATCCGTCCTCCCAAGCCGCAGCCTGCTCCCCAGACTCCTGTCCTGTCCACTTCGACATCTGATGCAGGCACTTTAGCAAACATCCCTGCCGTTCTGACTCCAGGCTCTATCCTGGCCTCCTCTCAGGGCACTGGTGGCCAGCAGATCTTCCATGTGATTCACACCATCCCCTCAGTCAGTCTGCCAAACAAAATGAGTGGCCTGAAGACCATACCAGTAGTGGTACAATCGCTGCCCATGGTGTATACTGCTTTGCCTGCAGATGGGAACCCTGCAGCCATTACAGTCCCACTCATTGGAGGAGATGGCAAAAATGCCGGATCAGGTGAGCATCACTGTGTCCCTCTCCTCGGCTTCACCTCCATCAATCTATTCTCTCATTTATTTATTGACAGTATTACAGATGTCCCCAATTTTCCCTATCTTTGCCCCCCTCCACCCAGACCCCACCCCACCCCAGGCCTTCTCCACGCTATTGTCTGTGTCCATGGGCTATGCATATATGCATATGTATTCTTTGATTCATCTCTTCTTCTCTTCTTCCCACCCCCTGCTCTGAGATCTGTCAGCTTCTATGTCTCTGAACCTATTTTGTTCATCAGTTTATTATGTTCATTAGATTCCATATATGAGTAAGATCATGTGATACTCATCTTTCTCTGACTGGTTTATATAGCTTAGCATGATATTCTCCAGGTGCCTTCATTCTGTTGCAAAGGGTAAGAGATCCTTCTTTTTTATAGCCTCATAGTATTCCATTGTATATATGTACTACAGCTTCTTTTCAAAAATCTTTATTGTTGAAAGTATTACATAGGTTCTCTTTTTCCTCCCATTAGCCCAGTGATTCCCAAAGTGGGCGCTACCGCCCCCCGGTGGGCGCTGCAGCGATCCAGGGGGCGGTGATGGCCACAGGTGCATTTGGGGGCGATGAGTAACTGCTATTAAAATTTTAAAAAAATTAATTTCCAGGGGCTGAGTAATATTTTTTCTGGAAAGGGGCGGTAGGCCAAATAAGTTTGGGAACCACTGCTAGCCTCTTCCAGCCCGGTCCCATCCTCCTCCCCCTGCTAGGTCCTCACCCCATTGTCTGTGTCCACGGGTCACGTATAGATGCATACAAGTTCATTGGTTGATGTCTGTACCACAGCTATTTTTATCTACTCATCTACTGATGGGCACTTGGGCTGTTTGCATATCTGAGTTACTGTCATCTATTCTCTTTTGGAGTTGCCCTATCTCCTGTCTCTTTTTATCCCCTCCAATTATCCTGGCACACAGCGTCAAGCACAATCTTTCATACACACTGTTTTTATCATGTCTTTTCCATGCTTAAGAACGTACAGTGACTCTCTTTTGTTTAGCTCATGCTTCTCAAATTGGGGTATGCATATCCTTGAGTGAAATACTATATATCTTCCTGGAACCTATATATTATTTGAGAGTTCAGTAATTTGAAATCTTTTATATTTTTAAAATATGATTTTATTAAAGAGAAAAATGTAAAATTTGAATAACATTTGAAGATAAAACACAAACTTCAAAAATAGTTTTATGCTTACTAGGCGTGGGATTTTTCAGGAGAGTGTTTTTAAGCTTCTTTGCCATTAGGAATGCTTTGGCAAACAAGTTGATAATGTTCTAGCCCTGCATACTTAGGCAGACTTAGCTCCTGCTAAGCTCCTAACACTGTATTTTTTTCCCCTGCAGGTAAAAGTCTCCTTTGAAATATTACCATTTCCTTATGTTCCTCCTCATTTTAGCATCTGTCACCCTCCATTTTTCTTTTTCACTCTCCTATATCACAGTATATAGGAATTCTTCCTAACTGAATTGTAAATTTCTCAAGGACAAAACTGTGTTTTATTCCTCTTTTGGTGTCTTCAGAGAACCTAACACAGTGGTAGATAATAGTTGTCTCACAAAAAATAATTTGATGAGCCCTGGCCAGTTTGGCTGTGGATAGAGTGTTGGCCTTTGGACTGAAGGGTCCCAGGTTCGATTCTGGTCAAGGGCACATGCCTGGGTTGCGGGCTTGGTCCCATTGTGGGGCATGCAGGAGGCAGCCGATCAATAGTTCTCTCTCATCATTGATGTTTCTATCTCTCTCTCCCTCTCCCTTCCTCTCTGAAATCAATAAAAATATATTTTAAAAATGTGATTAACGAACTTAGACATTTGTCCAGGAGAAAGTTCATATACTATAATCTTTCCTTGTGCTTAATTTTTAAAATAACTTCAGAATTTAAAAAGGTATAAAGTAAGTCTCCCTTTCACCACTATTCCCCAACCACCCAGTTCCCCTACTGGAAGTAGATCCATTGTAGTTTGTAATTGGGAATGATCCAAGAAAAATATATGGCTTCTCGAAGTGTTTCAAGATATTTAGCTTCACCACATCTGTAGCATTCTGATCAGCTTTGGATGTTATGCCTTAGGAAGGATGTTGGGAAATTGGAGTATACTTAGAGGAGATAGATTAGAATGGTTCAAGGACTCAAACCCATGTCAAATGAGGAGCTGATAAATATTTAGCATGAATCAAAAAGGGGCCCTAACCAGTTTGGCTCAGTGGATAGAGCGTCAGCCTGCTGACTGAAGGGTCCCAGGTTCGATTCCAGTCAAGGACATGCATGTACCTTGGTTGCGGGCACATCCCCAGTAGGGAGTGTGCAGGAGGCAGCTGATCGATGTTTCTCTCTCATCGATGTTTCTAACTCTCTATCCCTCTCCCTTCCTCTCTGTAAAAAATCAATAAAATATATTTTTAAAAAAAGACCAAAGGGAAGAGATGTGGGTAGAATTGACTAGGAACCAGATTTCAGCTCAATATAAAATAAACTGTATATATAATAAACTTTCTAAGTGTTTTCAAGCTTTGAAATCCAATGCCTTGTGATCGTTGCATCACTAAATGTAGGATGCTGAAAAACAACATACCAGGTATCAAATTGCTGAGACTGCAGTGTTCTTTTAAATAAAAATGCCATCATTGACTAGAGGATAAGTTTGGTAATGTAAGTATTCTTAACAATCTTTTTAAAAATATTTTTGTATTGATTTCAGAGAGGAAGGGAGAGGGAAAGGAGAAAGAATCATTGTTCAGCTGCCTTCTGCATGCCCCCTACTAGGGATCGGCCCCACAACCTAGGCATGTGCCCTTGACTGGAATTGAACCCGGACCCTTCAGTCCGCAGGCTGATGCTCTATCAACTGAGCCAAACCAACTAGGGCTACAACAGTCTTGTTTTTGAGATCTCCTGAGGAGGTTAATTAAAATATAGTTATCAATTCTTGTATAGGGAGAGAGAGCCAAACAAAAAAACAAAATGGAAAAATAAAATTCCCCCTGTGAGAATTTACTGATCAAGACAGTGGTAGCACCTCAGGATGGTTTGAAGGGGCTTTGAATTCCCACCATAATATCCATAAGTCCATTGGAGCCCTTCTAAATAAACAATACATTTCTAAAATGTTTCATGTAGTTTCAAGCTAAGCTAAGACCGTGAGCTCAGTGGTCTCCAAAATGGTAGGCTTCCACCTCAAGTGAGAGGGGTGCACAAAGCAATTAGAGCATAAAGAGAAAGTATCAGCATTTCTATTTGTATTTTCTCGCCCCTTACATATTATTTTTTGTTTATTTTCATAATGTACACAAAATTTTAATATACTGGCACATTTATATCATACACACACATGCAAACACAGACATATTGAGATCCATACTTAAAACTTAACTTTTTCTTAATCCTTACCCAAGGATATGTTTATGATTTTAGAGAGGAAGGAGGAGAGAGAGAGAGCGAGAGAGAGAGAGAGAGAGAGAGAGAAAGAGAGAGAGAGAGATCAATTGGTTGCCTCCTGTATGCACCCTTTTGGTGTACAAGACAATGCCCCAACCAACTGAGCCACCTGGCCAGGGCCATGTTTAAAACATTTTAGTGAATGATGTACAATCAATGTATGGAGGCGATTGCACAAGCCAAGTCCTTCCCCATTCAACCTTATTAGCACCCTTAAGTTTCTAGCTTTTACTAGATCTAGGAGACCGCTGACCACAGGACTGAGTTTTGTTAGGTGTCGGAAACACAAGTAATTGATAATAAGAAATATTTGAGGGCTTCTCCCAACATAGGGAAAAGGATGGATGTAACATGTATCAAATACCCACTAGGTACCAGGTATGTGTTTCATTGGCTTGTTTTCATTTAGGAGCACAGAAGCCGAAGGATGCATTATCACCTGTGGGCTGAGACTAGGCATTTGTCTTAGGACAGCCAAGGAACTATTCAGAGAGTATGATTCAACAAGCACACATTGAACCTGACTTTTAAGCACACCCTGTCCTGGGGCTGGAGATAGTGTCTATTTGTAACCAGACACTATCCTAGAGAAGAAACTCACTGTCCTATCTCACTCACTATCCTCGAGAAGCTTATTCTAGTGGTACCAGAATGTTCCTGACTGTCTTTCCCTCAAAACAATTTCTGTTTCCTGCTATGCTACATATTTTAAATATTCTTCTCTTCCTTCTACACAAATACACTTCTTCCATCTTGGCCTTTCCTTTACAGTAGGTCCTCGGGTTACGTCAGAGGTCCATTCCTACGGCGCAAAATTACGCCATTTTTGCCGTAAGTTGGAACCCACCTACATAAGCACCTACGTCACTCACATGGAGCACATACACAGCAGTAATGAAGTGCAACAGTAAAAAAAATTTAAAAGAAAGATAACAATTCCTGACCTTTACTTGTGGTAAATAAATAACAAAAAACATAAAACACATATGTACATACATCGAAATGACGGAACTTTTTTTATAAATAAATGGGAGATGGCGATGTCACCACAAAATGACGTATGTCGAGTCCGACGTAACCCGAGGACTGCCTGTATTTCTCTTTCTGCTCCTTCTCATTGTGGGCCAAACTGGGAATCCTAAAAATGATACCAGAGGCACATATATTTGTAGCCCACATTGCTCCTTTTCTTTGCTTTTAGTGAAAGTTGACCCCATGTCCATGTCTCCACTGGAAGTCCCAAGCGACAGTGAGGAAAGTGCAAATGAGGGTGGATCCTTGGCCTTCCAGGGACTGCAGCAAGAGTGAGTACTTCTGTCTTTACTTCTAGTCCCTTTCTATGTATATATGTGTATCTGTGGTAGAAATGAACAAATTCTCAGACACAATAGTAAGAGTTTGGGGACAACAAAATATAGGAAAACCTTTCCCAGCAAAGGTATGAGTTCGTGTGCATATGTGTGCATAGACATGCATATTGTGGCAGAGTTAGGTTCTAATTGTAGATCATCAATTTTACCCTTGAAAAATCTGCAGATTTCCTGTAAAGTACAGTTGCCTAGGGTTTCTTTCTGTACGTTTCAAGCAGCCTTGTCATCCAATGTTGGGACTAATAAAGTAGTTGGCTCGTGTTTTTAGCAACCATGTTGTATGAAAAATGTATTTCTTTAAACACAAGTATGAGACTTGTTAGAGAGAGATGCTCACGCTGTTTGGGAGCAGAAACTACCCAAGGAAACATTGCCACCTCCTGGAACCTGCATGTACTTAGCAGAATGGGCTAGTTGAGGGAATTGCTTGTACTGTATTACTTCTTCTTTTAAGGGTCTAGTAATAAATTTGCCTGTATGAAGTGGTCCCACTGTATGTATGTCCATTTATTTAGACTTCACGTTAAAATCATTCTTTGGCCCTATTTCTCTTTTTAATCTCAGACCAGCAGCAATGACCCAAATGCAGGGAGAAGAGTCCCTTGACTTGAAAAGAAGACGGATTCACCAATGTGACTTTGCAGGATGCAGCAAAGTATACACCAAAAGCTCTCACCTGAAAGCCCACCGCAGAATCCATACAGGTCTGTCCACCTTCACCCCACCCCCAACACACACACACACACACACACACACCCCATACACAGTCTCTGAGGCTGATCCATTTATACTCATGGATCAGGTTCCATTCATGGCTTTTACTCTTATACCTTGTTCCTACTCTAAGGTAGCTTTTATAAAACCAGCCTATGACTACACTTAGCCTGGTGTCTTCTGAATGGCCACTATCCCCAATTGATCACCTGTAGGTCTTTTTTTTTTTTAATTAACCTTCATCTGAGGATATTTTTCCATTGATTTTTTTTAGAAAGAGTGGAAGGGAGAGGGAGAGACAGAGAGAGAAACATCTATGTGAGAAAGACAACTTCGGCAATTAGTTCAGTATGTGGCCAATTTTGTTCCTTCTACACCCCTACCAACTCCCCCATCCCACACTATTATTTTGAAGCAGATTTCAGACATCATATTATCTTTGTCATAAATACTTAAGCATATATCTTTAAAAGGCAAAGGACATTTAAAAATAAGCTGAAGGGAGTGGCAGGAGATATTTAAAGTGCTCAAATAAAGGAATCTAAAAATTCCTTAATATCAGATTTCCCCAGTTGTTTAATAAATGCTTTTTAAAAGTTTGTTCAAATCAGTATTTTAAAAAAGGTTCTTACATTAAATGACATAATTAATGAGAAGGAGCCAACTATGCCAAAAGTTTAAGGAAAGTATTGCTCTTATCTAGGCAGAGTACGAAAGCTGGGAGATGGGAATAAGTTTGTCTTGTTCTAATAACTGACGGAAGCCCAGCATTTGCTAGGGCATATTAAGTGCAGTGGTTGGTGGTGGAAGCATGGAGTTGCAAGAGTGGAAGGGGGCCTAGCCAGAGTGGCTCAGTGGTTGAGCATTGACCGGCAGCACGCCCCTACTGGGGACTAAGCCCACAACCCTGGCATATGCCCTGACCAGGAATCAAACTGTGACTTTCTGGTTTATAGGTCGACCTTCAACCACTGAACCACACTGGCCGGGCTTTGTTGAAAGATTTTTGATTACTGACTCAATCTCCTTATTTGTTGATGGCCTGTTTAGGCTTTCTACTTTTTTTGAGCCAGTTTTGGTAGGTTGTATGTTTCTAGGAATGTACCCATTTCTTCTAAGTTACGTAGTCTGTGGGCATATAATTGTTCATAATTGTCCCTTGTAATACTTTTTATATCTGAGGCATCCATTGTAATGTCTCTTCTCTGTTTTATGATTCTTAGAATTAGTGAGATGATCGCATTACTATGTTGTACATCTGAAACTAATATAATATTGTATGTTAACTATAATTAAAATAGATGTAAAACAAAGAAAATAAAAATTTTATTATAAGATACGATATCATGATTTTTAAAACATTCAATTGACACAGAAAAGTAAAAAGAGAAAGTCCTTTTCCCACAGTTTTTCTCCTCACTTTCCAGATATTCACTTACTGTTAATAATGTATCTCATTATTTGCATTTAAGTATATCGATATTGCGCCTTTATTCTGAGTATTTCAACATGTACTGTGTGATCCACACACCCTAATAGGATCCTCTTGTGTTAATGTATTTTCTATTACTTTTTTCTTTTAGCTTTTTATCCAGAGCATACATATTCCATATATAACCCAGATGCAACCTGCGGATACTGAGCATGAACTATTTCAAAAAATTTGACTTAATGCTTCTCCTCATCCCATTCCATGCACTTTAATTTCTGACCTGACACAGAAGAAGGCCTGTAGACTGAGCTGAGGGCTCCTTCTAGTGAATCACATTTTCTTTCTGTGGATATGTCTCTACTTTAGACTATTTGCTGGGAGGTATTAGAGGAGAGGATATGGCTGCTACAGCGTGGTACAGGGTCAAGTGTCAAAGACCTCAGTTTGGAACCCAGGTTTATCATTTACTAGCTGTGTTCAGAAAAGAAGATATGTCAAACAGCCCTGCGAGATATTTTCTTCACCTTTAGAGATGATTAAACAGAAACCCGGCCAGGGAGAAGTTACTTATTTCAGGTCACACAGCTGGTATGTAGGAGAGCCAGGATTCAAGCAAAGGCCTGTTGGAGCCAGCGCCTGCCGCCTTAGCTTCTCTTTAGCGCTTCTGTAAGGTTGAAGGAGAGCCTGTCTTCAAAGTGGTTGCCTCACCTTTTGACCAAAGCCTTGATAAAAGCTTATGGCCTCTGTTATCTTTTCAGTGTCCAAACATCGCTGACTCCCCTTGTTTTTTCCTATTCCCCTTTTAGGAGAGAAGCCTTATAAATGCACCTGGGATGGCTGCTCCTGGAAATTTGCTCGCTCAGATGAGCTTACTCGCCATTTCCGCAAGCACACAGGCATCAAGCCCTTCCGGTGCACAGACTGCAACCGGAGCTTTTCTCGCTCTGACCACCTGTCCCTGCACCGCCGGCGCCATGACACCATGTGAGCTCCACAGTCCTCACTAGAAGAGCTGCGCTGGTCTCATTCCTGTGTGTGTGCTGAGGTCATGACCATCTTTTCCTCTTTGACTTCAGCTTGCCTCTGGGATGGGACTGGAGTAGCTCACTGAGCCAGGTTGATGAGACTGGAGGAAAAGATAGCTGATTTCCCATGGTGGCTCCTCATATTCCATCTTCACATCTTCGTATAGGTTGAATAAAAAGTGTGGCACCCCTGGTCACAGATGGGACACTTTTTCTACAATAACAAAACAGGAATCCAACTCAAGGCTGTGAACAAACATATGCTGCTTTTTTCCTGTTTTTCCCTCCTTTTGTTCTAGAATTCTTATCCATATTTTTGAAAAATCAGTACTTAAAAGTGGTTGGTAGTGTTTTAAAATGACTTTTTTTTTCCAAGTTCCTAGAGAGAAGAGGGCATAACAGTGTAGCTTATCGGTAGCATGGATTGGCATCCTGAGCATAGGACACATTCTCAGTGAATATACTGAGTCCCATACAAAACTCAAAGGTTTTGTAAATCCAATCCTATTTGTCCTTACAGTTTGGTTTTCACACAGTGCGGGCACTTCTGCTTCTTAAGTCCATTGGAGGGAATGAAGTGATCTTGTCCATCTCCTTCTCCTTCCTTCTCTTCCTCCTTCAACATTAAGGATTTTACAGCACAATCACCTTCTTTTTGGGTTAAATATTAGTTAGGACAAATATTTGAAGCACACATTGACATGCCGGTAGGATGAAAAATGTTTCAGGAAGAGTATGTTGGACCATGACAGGAAGAAGCAGAACCACGATAATCCTGAAAACAAATAGAGAGGGACTTTCACTTGGATATGACGCTAAAAGTGCTGTAATCACAAACCTCATTCAAATGGCAGCCTGTTGAGACAGTGTCTTGAGGGGCTGTACTGTACTGTTTATTCTTTTGTTTACATAAAGCAACTATTATGAGTGTAATGCATGATGAGAAATCATACACTGGGGCCATGTCATAGAAAGGTGAGGGGTTGTAAGAAAAATCTTTGTTCATTCCATGGCATTATTAGCATGCATTCCTGTGTTTCATTTGGAATAGGAGGCTTTTAGTGAAAACTGAGATACAGAAAGTAATTCGATGTTCTGCAACTGCTACGAGCACCTATGGCATTTCTTTTAGCCATTACAGCATATTGCATAATAGAGACATTTGGTTACCAAATCTGACTATTTCATAATAGTCTCTGAGACATAAAACCCTGTGTTCCAGGCTCTGGACCTCAGATCTACCTCCACATGTCATATTGCCTCTCTTCAGGGGGAGGGGGAGTTTGTATCACTTAACTTTGGACTCAGCCTCTCTCCTAAAGGTTCATATGGAACCCCTTTTCCTTGGCAGATATTCAACCAGTCCCTGCTTACATATTTTAGGTTACTACCTCCCAAGGTTTGTCCATTCTGAATACATCATAGAATTCTAGCACCAATGAGGGATCCTATTAGCCATCTAGTCCTATCCATCATTCATATTTTACAGATGAGACAAATACGGGTCAGATTCTTTCCACAGATGTTCCTTGAGGCCTTATAGACCTGCACACTCATTCTCCTAGGGGTCACATTGTTAAACCAGATTAGAGAAAAATTTACATGATTGGTTGCAGTATTTGTCCAATTTCATATGTTATGCTTCAGAAAACTTTAGAACACTCAGTTGATTAGCTAATAAGTAAAGTGTGCTTGCAGTATGGGCATATAACATTAGGTACACAATATTTATCTTCTAACACTTTCTGTAATATCTCAGAATTGATTTACCTCATTTAAACATAGAATGTCCAGATCATAAACCTTTATAAATTCAAGGCCTGCCTGTATTATTCAAAATGACACATGGATTTTTACTCTTCTCGTTGTTATTTTGAAACAGACTTTCCCCTGACTTTCGGTGTGTAAGTTCCACACTATAGACTGAAAGGGAACGTTTATGTAGCGCTAAGATTGTTAAAGGTGACTTACCATCATACATATTGGCTTAAGCTTATAATTGAGTAGATGATACAGTGTTTCACAGTAGAGTCCAAGGACCCATTTTCTCCAGAGTTTGGATCCTGAGATTCCCTTTTCCAGAGTTCATAACTGTCTTACACCCCCAGACCTCAGGATCTTTTGCATTGGAGCATATAACCTGTTTATAAATAAAGGCTATCAAACATACTATTGTACTAACTATGATGATCAAATTAAAATTTCTAATATTGCTATCTCTGCCACCCCTAAACCTTTATTCAATTTTTTCCTGCAAAGTAATGAGGGATTTTGTTACTGCTTTATTAATAGCCCCTCCAAATAACAATAAAATCATTCCAATCATTATATATTCTTTAAGAGATGTGTCAAAATTTATTAAGAGTATTTCATACCATACAGGGATTCAAATACAGTACAATACAGTACTGCACCAAAAGCACATAGAATTTTGTTAAGTAGACAGATGAAAAGGAATGGTAGCTCTTTTTAAAAATATGTTTTTATTTATTTTTAGAGAGGGAGGAAGAGAGAGAGAGAAAGAAAGATAGAAACATCCATCAGCTGCCTCCTGCAAACCCCCTACTGGGGATTGAGCCTGCAACCCAGGCATGTGCCCTGACCGGGAATTGAACTGCGACCTCCTGGTGTGTGGGACAATGCTCAATCCACTGGGCCACACCGGCTGGGCAGGAACTGTAGCTCTTAAATAGCCTTGTTCGCTGGGACTGGACAATATCCTGGGATTTGTTGCAGTGGAGTTCCTCCATCTGTAGATAATTGTCAGTTGAACATAACTATTGATGATTATATTGGAAAATTCTGGAAAAACTGAAGAATGTGAATTGGTTAGTTAGATTAGGTGGAAAGAATTGTGGGCAAGACAGAAAGATTTGTGAAGGTAACTTCTTTTTAAATAAAATGTTTATTTTTAGGACAGTTGCAGATTTACAGAAAAATTGTGAAGATTCTACAGAGTTTCCCTATACCCTACATCCAGCTTATTAACATCTTTCCTTAGTATGGCACATTTGTTAGAATTAATGAAGTAATATTGATGCTTTATTAACTAAAGTCCAAACTTTATTCAAATTTCCTAAATTTTTATCTAATATCCTTTTTTGTTGTTGTTACAGCATCCCATTCAAGATACCATGTCACGTTTAGTGGTCATATCTTCTTGGGCTTTTCTGGAATGTGGCATTTTTTCAGATTTTTTTTCCTATTGGCCTTGACACTTTTGAGTAGTATGTCCCTCAATTGAGATTTGTCTGATATTTTTCTTATGATTAAACTGAGTTTAAAAGGAGGAAGACCATAGAGGTAACCGGCTCTTTTCATCACATCAAATTAACATGATTTAATCTTTGATGTTAACCTGGACTACCTGGCTGACATTGTGTTTGTCAGCTTCCTCCTTTGTTCTTTCCCCCACATTCCATACTGTACTCTTTGGAAGAAAGTCACCATGCAGCCCACACTTAAGGAGAGCGGAGTTGTGCACCACATCCTTGAGTGTGAGTATCTACAAAAAAAAATTATTTGGAATTCTGCATGGGAGATTTAACTCTTCTCCCTCATTTATTTATGTAATAGGTTTACTTGTATCAGTATGGACTCACATTTACTTTATACCTGGGGTTATAATCCAATAAAATTTTATTTTGTATGCTCAAATTGTTCCAGCTTTGGCCATTGGATGCTCTTTTGGGTTAACTCCCAAGTCCTTTTGACATACCCCCGTCATTTTCTTTTTAAGCATATACTTATTTGTTGGCACTACAAGATGCTCCAGGCTCATCTTGTATATTTTTGGCCCACTTCTATAATCAACCATTTCTTTAAGGAGCCCCGATTCCTTTTAATGGATAATTGTATTAGAAACCAAGATCTAGGATTAGGTATGCTTATGGCTACTGGGGTATTGTTGCTTCTAGGCCATCTCAGCTGACAGAACAAGCAAATATATGTATGTACACTAACCCATGTATATATACACATATCTACAAATATTTGTATATGTAATCTTCCATATCTTTATTAAGCTAAACGTGAGTTCATACTGATGTTGCCAACACCAGTCTATCACCAAATGTATCATTCTAGCCTTTTCCCTTTGCTTATTTGTAACCTCCCACTCAAACAGTAAAAAACCTGTCTCCCTCACTCAGACATCTATTTGCTCAATTGTGCAATTCTAGTATAAATATATAGCAGTATCTGAATTGTTAATCTGTACACTGTGGATAACAACTAGAACACAGTGCTTATGTGTATGACAGTAACATTTTCTCAAACTCCAACAACTTTTTGAAACAAAGTGATCTGCAAAATTTAGGAATTAGGGATTTCTATGTTCTTGGTTCCAAGAATTTGAGAATCTATTCTGCCCCCCAAAAGTGTCTTCAATAACCAAACCATTAGGAATGGAGCCAACCTTGAATAAGCCTAGGGAAATTATTGATTCCCCCATAGTGTGCCAATATCTACATAGAGAGATGGACACAGAAGAAAGTAGGTATGCCCAATTAAAACTAAAATATAACATGATCCTTTCTCACTGGCAAATATGGCTCTCTGACATTAAGGGTGCTACCCTAAGTTACCTCTCCCATATTTTCCCATCTCTCACTTGGTTGACCTTAGGCAAGTCACATCACCTCTCTGTGCCTCAGTTAACCCATCTGTAAAATGGGAATCTAAATATCTACCTCACAGGAATGTTGTGAGGATTATTAATGGATGTTGGCAACAATGATGGGAGATGCCTAAATGAATAAAAAGTAATATGATCATCACTATGATGATAATTCTAATAACCTATATTTTTCCCTAGAAAATGGAGAGGATTAGGCTTTCTGGGTGATAAAGAGCTAAATTTGAGTCAGTAACAAGGATAATTGAAGAGCGGTCACTGGAAGCAATATTATTTCCTATTCTACTTTCACTTTTCCTACATGCTCCTTGTTATTAACTATAGAATTCTGATCTGTTTCCAGACTCAAAGCATATTAGAGCCTAAAGGGATAGGTAGGCAAAATCCAGTGCTACAAACGCTGTATTCCCCTTTCTTCACTCTGCCTGGGCCACATTATATGTCACCCTGTCAGAAGCACAAAGGCAATTTCCCAGAACCCTTCAGACACTGGTTCAACTTCACCAGTTACATTTCTCTCTTTCCCCACTTACTGTACCCTGAACGGTATAGGTAGGAGGGAAGTGAGGTGGATGTTTGGGGTGGGAGTGGGATGGAAGAGGATGCAATTTATACCAGTGGCAGGATGATTCTCTGGTTTCACCTTCCATTTCCTTTTCTGATGGTGGATTGAGGGCTGAGGGAGAGAGATTATTTTGTTAACTGTTTAGCTCTCTTTCCCTTCCAGTAGATGTTTCCCAGGGTCAGTAGTTGTGTTGGACATTACTTTTTAAGTATGTTGTAGGCAGTGCTGTGTTCATTGTATTTCTGAATGAAAAGAGGAAGAGAATCCCTAGTATTGTCCATCCCTGTTTTTTGGCAGGAGGTCACAGCAGCAGAGCAGTCCCCGAAACTTTTTTGTGTCTGTGTGTTGGGGAAAGGAGCCCGAAGTGAAGGGACTGACTGATTTTTTTTTGTCATTGTTAGTTTGTTTAAAGAAATTACAGAACAGTATATAAGCTTTAGTCTCTATAACTCTTATGTTCGTGCCTCGTTATTTCAGTGCTTTAGAGCAGCACCCCATTTTCCTCTATGTTATACTAGTTCTTGCTCCAGAGATATGGCTTTGAGGCTAGGATCATGAACAATCTCTTATATATGAGCCTGTTGTGCACCTGGAAATACTCAAGGATTTCCTCCGCTAGCATGGCCACTTTAGAGGTTACTCTGTTCTAACCTAAAGAGACTCTCCCTCTGTGGCATCCAGGCAGACTGTGTGCTTGGGTACTAAGCAATCTTGTTATGTTTGATTATTGTACTTTTTTATTAATAAAGTATTTTAAACTTCAGATACCATGAATATTATTTTGACTTTGTCTCTATTTTATGTTTCCTCCACATGGCATGGCATAAATAGATAGGCCCCCCCCCCCCACTTAGCTGCGTAAACTATAGTGATGAAACTATTGTATATTAGCATGGGGCAAGAAAGGAATCTGGTCTGTCTTAAGCACAATAATTTCTCTGTTTAAGCACATGAGGCCCTCCCCATTCTTGGTAATCTAGTCAGAAACGTCCCAGAATAGGGCCTCATGAAGACTATGCTTTTTTAAAAAATATTTTTTATTCATTTCAGAGAGGAAGGGAGACAGAGAGAAAATCAACGATGAGAGAGAATTATTGATTGGATGCCTCCTGCACACCCCCTACTGGGGATGGAGCCTGCAACCCGGGCCTGTACCCTGACGGGGAATTGAACTGTGGCCTCCTGGTTCATGGGTCAATGCTCAACCACTGAGCCATGCCGGCTGGGCCTGAGTGCTTTTTTAAAAAAAATATTTCCTACAAAGACTCTTGTGGATACTGATTCAGTTGGCTGGCTTTCCCTGCCCAATCCTATTCTCCCTATTATTTTGTATTTTTGTTTTTTTCTCAGAAGGACTACAGGAGAGGAGGGCATAGGGACAGCTTTAAACTCCAAAGCTACTCAGTATAAATACCAGCCTTTGGTGGGGATGTGGGAGGCTGTCTTGTTCAAAGACTCTGCTTTGGGAAGCTTTGTCTTTCAGAGACACTGGGGAGAAAGTAGAAAGGGGGAAATCCTGTGAGAAAGATTGAGAACAAGATCTAGAAAAACAGATCGAAGAGTGACTATTCCTGGAGCTGCCAGAAAGGGATTTTTTATTACAAATGATACAAAACAAGAATTCTAGGGCTTATAGGTTTTCCAGTAATATTTCTTTATTCTAAGAGTCATTGTCATCCCTTTGGGTTAAAAGCATAAGCAACTGGATGCTACAAATATTGACTAAAAAGCTACCAATAATCCAGACTCTTTGCTGGTTGCTATGGAAATGAATAAAATACAGCTACTCTCAAGCAATTCACTTCCTAATGAGGGATACCAGAAAGAAAACAACACAGTAGTGTCTTAAATATCATAATAGATATGTGTTCTATATTTCTGCAAATTAAAAATATGTGAATAATATAAGATACCATAAGAAGGTAAAACACAGCCACACATATAACACAGGATTTGTATCCAATATACACACTTTGAATTATTATTCATTTCAATGGGTTAAATCTGAAAATAGAAAAACATCAATTGAGCTATCAGCTGTTAAGTGTGTATACATTTTTGGGACACCCTATATATAAATAAATCACAAATAATAAAACGATAAAATGAATAAAAATTAACAAATAATTCCCATATAGATTATATATAGTCAATAAACATAAAATATGTTCAACCTCACTACTAATCATGGAAATAAAATTAGAATGAGAACTATTTTTTTACTCATTTGAATGGCAAATATTACAAATTTCATAAGACCAAGTGTTGGCAGAATATATGAAAATGTGCAAATATAATTCACTACTGGTTGAAGATAAAAAGTGGTAGTCATACTGGAGGGAGATTTTCCTGTATTTATTATGACCAAAAAGACCATATACCCTATATCTTAGAAATTATACTTTTTGGTGTCTATAGTACAGGGACAGATGCTCATATATGTAGAGGTTGGTGCATATACAATAAAGCTGTTCATTTCAGCATTGATTATAATAATGACAAATTATAGACAACCTAAATGTCTATCAATAGGGGAATGACAATAAATTATGGTATAAGCTTTTCTGTGGAATACAATGTAGCAGTTAATAGGAATGAAGTAGATCCGTATTAACGTACAGGGAATGATCTTGAAATCATATTATTTTGGAAGAATCCACACCAACTAGATTACTGTACTTTTTGTGAGAAATGAAGGACCTGAGTTTGAGGGTTTAAAATAAGTCTGAGATACAGGAGGGAAACAACTTGTAAGGCTGGCAGAAAATATGGTCAAGGGAACAGTGAATACAAAAACGGCTCTCTTCTGAATCATTTTATTAAAAAAAAATCACAGGATTACTTGGGAGAGTTAATACATAAATTCATATTTGAGCACCCACAAGTATATTATTCTGATTCATTTGTTGGATTAGGTACAATCACGGGGCAGAGAATGAGTAGGGATAGGTGAGAATGGGACCAGGTACATTTTTTTGGTTAATCTTCACCCAAGGATATTTTTTCCATTGATTTCCAGAAAGAGTGGAAGGGAGGGAGGAAGTGTGTGTGTGTGTGGAGGGGGGAGGGAAACATCCACGTGAGAGAGACACATCGATTGACTCCCACACTCACCCCTACTGGGGCTAAGGGACCTACAACAGAGGTAAGTGCCCTTGACTAGGAATCGAACACGTGACCTATGCTCTAATCATTGAGCAAAACTGGCTAAGGTGGGACCAGGTATATTTTCAAAAGAATTGAAGAAGGTTAGCAAGGGGAAGGTGCATATCCTGGGGAAATCAAAGCAAAGAATCATTGCATCTGGGCCGAAAGATCATAAGAAACCAGAACAACTGGGTGTGAGTGGCCTAGAATACAGGCTTTTCACCCTTCTCATGAGGGGAGGGGTGTAAGGAAAACTGACCTGATAGCTTGGCTCTTCGTGCTGAATATCTGAATGTGTTGTTTTAATTCCATTGCTGATATTTTCCCTCAGCATTTTCTCCAAATTACATTTTTTCTACCAGCTTTATTGATTTATAATCCTATATAATAAAAGCCTAATATGCTATGTGTATGACCGTTCGACCAGTCACTATGACTCGCACTAACCACCAGGGGGCAGACACTCTGACCAGTAGCTTAGCTTGCTGCTGGGGTCCAGCCTATCGGGGACTGGGTGAGATGGGCTGGGCACACCCTGGAGCCCTCCCGTGGTCCCTCCCCAGCCCCAATTGTGCATCAGTGGGGTCCCTCAGGCTGGCCTGCGCCCTCTTGCAATCCGGACCCCTTGGGGGATGTTAGAGAGCCGGTTTTAGCCCCATCCCAGCAGGCCAGGCTGAGGGACCTCACTGGTGTATGATTCCATGCACTGGGCCTCTAGTTGATTAATAATATTGTGTAAATTTAAGGTGTAAATGTGACGATTTGATACATGTATATTGTGAAATGTTTGCCACAATTAAGTTAGTTAACACATCCTTCACCTCACATAATTACCATTTTGTTGTTGTTCTTATGGTGAGAATATTAAAGCTCCGCTTTCATAGCGACTTTCAAGCATACAATACCATATTGTTAACTATAGTCACTACCACACTGTACATTTGATATCCTGAATTTGTTCATTATATCACTGAAAGTTTTCACTCCTTTGACTAACACCTCTCCATTTCTCCCAACACTCAACACTAGCAAATACAACTCTACTCTCTGTTTCTTTGAGTTTGATATTTTTAGATTCCATTTATAAGTGAGATCTCACAATATTTGTCTTTGTCTGACTTATTTCACTTAGCATAATACCCTCTAGGTACATCCATGTTGTCACAAATGGTAAGATTTCATTCTGTTTTATGGCCAAGTAATATTTCATTATATTAATGTACCACATCTTTTAAAAAAAAATATTTTTTATTGATTACATAGAGAAAGGGAGAGGGAGAGAGAGATAAAAACATCAGTGATGAGAATCATTGATTGGCTGCCTCCTGCACGCCCCCTACTGGGGACTGAGCCCACACCCCTGGCCATGTGCCCTTGACCAGAATCAAACCCATGGCCCTTGAGTCCCCAGGCCGACACTCTATCCACTGAGCCAAACAGGCTAGGACACCATATCTTCTTTATCTAATTGTCTACTAATGGGCAGTTAGGTTGCTTCCATATCTTGTAAGTAAGGCTGCAATAAACATAGGGGTGCATATACCTTTTGAGTTAGAGTTTCTGTTTTCTTCAGATAAATTCCCAGAAGTGGAAGTTCTGGGTTGTATTTTTGAATTTGGGGGAGGTTTCAGTTTGGGGGCATCTCTATGTGTTCACACAGCAGCACCCCAACAGTTATTCCACCTCTCCTGGTGGGGTAGCACTGTGTATGCTCACTGTAGTACCTCACTAGTTCCACACTTTCTCCAGACAGGGCAGCCCCATGTGCTTGCACTTTGCTGGTTCTGCACTTTCTCCTGGTAGAACAGCTCTATGTACTTCTGCAGAAGCACCCCACTATCTTTGCACTTTCTTTGGACAAAGCAGTGCTACATGTGGGCACCGTGGTGCTTTGCTAGTTTCATCTTATCTTTGGGCTGGGGAGCTCTATGTGCACACGCAGCCCGTGGGTGTGTGCAGTAGCACCATGCCATAGCCATCTGATCAATCTCTGGGTGGGGAAGCCTCATGTGCACGGGCTACGGCACCCTCCTGTCCCTACTGGCACTAGCTCTGGAGGGGTGAGCAACCCTTCATGTCAGCCATTGAACCTGGATGGAGCTTTCACCTGATATCCAGGGATAGGTAAACAATGGTGCTCACCATTTCCTTCTTTCACGAGAGTTCCCTCAGCTCCCAGAGACCTCCCGTGGCTCCCCAACTTTCTTTATGCAGTCTCTTGTTTGTTGTGTAGAAGCTGTTCAATTGGCTCTCAGTTGTCTCTCAGGAGGAATTATTCCAAATTTAGGTGTACATTTGATGTGTTCTTGGGAGGAGGCAAGCTCAGTATCCTTCTAAGCCACCATCTTGGACTCACCTTTTTGGTAGTTTTATTATAATTTGTTTTGGAGAAAGTCTTTTGGCATTGCGATAATGGGGTACCTATTAGGTTTGTGAACTTGAATTTCCAAATCTTTCCCCAGGATTGGGAAGTTTCAGCTATTATTTCCTTTTTTATAAAAAAAAATATTTTTTATTGATTTCAGAGAGGAAGAGAGAGGAAGAAAGAGATAGAAACATCAATGATGAGAGAGAATCATTGATTGGCTGCCTCCTGCACACCCCACACTGGGGATC